CGAAAAAGCACGGCATGGACGTGGCGAGCACCTCGCGAGACCGTCCTCCCATGCTGTCGTAGCCACCAGAGAGAAGCTCTGGGATCAGTGGACCTGTGGCGATCCTCCAAGGAATTTAGATGACAGGGACGACAAACACAATCTCTACTGTTCCTTCCATGGGTGAATAGGGCACGCTACTTCGGCCTGTCGACACCTCCAGAACTCTTTGTACAAAAAATACAAGGAGAGCAAAATTAACGCCGGCGGAAACCGATCCCAGAATAAAAGTTCCTACTCACGCAGCTCCAACTCTAAGATCTCGCGCCGAAGTACCTCCAACAAGGGTCGCCGAGATCAAGGGAAAAGCAGCAGCCGAAGCAGTTCCGGAGGAAGACGTCGAAGTCGTTCGTCAGAGAAAACGCGAGAAGAAAAAGAAAAAGAAAAGGGAGCAAAGCACGACAACGACGATGGCGAACATGACAATCCACCCTCTCCGCCCAAGCGGCGGGTTAACATGACAATGAGAGACCTTTCTGATTGCGATGACTCGGTTCGCGCCATCAAAGAATATGGACGAAAAGCGATTATTTCGCGGAAGTTTCCTCGCCCCGTGGACTACCATCCGACAATCACGTTTACATCGAAGAATATGCATGGGTTACTCACCCCGCATAACGATCCGCTGGTTGTCGAGTTACATATCCACGATAGCGAAGTGGCCAAAATACTGGTGGACACCGGCAGCACGGTTAATATCATCTTCAAAGACACTTTGACCAACATGGGACTCCAGGATAAAGATTTCAAGGCAGCGCCAAAGCCACTAACTGGCTTTGCCAGCGAATCTTTCTTTAGCCTCGGCACCATACGTCTGTCTGTTTACGTCGGCAGAGTGACAAAGATTGTCAAATTTACTGTCATGGATAAACCGGCAATTTATAATGTCATACTTGGCACACCTTGGATCCACGAGATGAAATCTATCGTATCGACTTACCACTAATGCATGAAGTTTGCTACCTCGGTCGTCACCTTCACGCTTTGCGGCAATCAGCAGATGGCAAGATCCTGCTTTATTAGCGAACGGAAAGTGCGACTCTCCGCGGCAAAAGCCTCGAAGACACCAAACAAGCAGAGTAGATTCGATAAGAATCTCACAGCTTTTATATTTAGTCTTTTTATTTTATCAATAAAGGCCGGCTTGGCTCCCGAGTGACAGCACTCATTTAATAATTGTAGTGAACTACAAATGGCTTGATCCCGACTTGGGTACGTAGACAACCTCCGGATGCAGCTGTAAATTTAATAATTTTTTATTTTGGAAAATAAGCTCAGCACGTTGAGCAATCTTCCCTTATTCAAATGCATCTTGCTGAGTCGATGTTCTAGCCAAACATTCGATTCGAAAAAGCAAAAAGCAAAAATTAAATTAGTGGCTGATCACCACTCCTTTGATATTTTAATTACTTCTGAAGTGGATAAGACGAAAACCGAGGATAATACTCGCACGACCCTCGATCATACCTTTCAGGCCGAAGTGAATCCTGAAAGCTTGGTATTCGATCTTGATTGTCGTTTGGTATAAGACGGGCAAAGGAATCCCACTCCCAACTCCGAACTAAAAAGTTCCATCGTATAAACTTTCAAAACAAACCACATTGCTTTTGCAAAAAGTAAAGAGAGAAGAGCAAGGCAAATTAAAATTCTAATTTACAGACCTTTTCGGACAATGTCATTAAACAAAAAGCTACACAAAGGCCAAATAAATTACAATAAAACAAATACATGGAAGGCAGCCGCTCAGCTCAAATCATCCCTTGGCTCTGACGTCCTTCCTTGCGTCTGCTTCAACAGCTCCTCAATGACAGATCTGCCAGCAAAAAATAATAACAAAAGCTTAAGCAAAGATCGAAGTCTTTTTCTACAAAAAAAACGTAGTGGTAACACTAACCTGCTCGGCAAACTAAGATCGTCATCGGTAATAGCTATCTCGTCGATAGCACTACTTGCAGTTTGCCACTTCGCGAGTTCTCTCTCGAAGGCTGGGAGCGTGCCAGCAGGGAGTTCCCACCCCTTTTCAAGCATCTTCTTCATATATGCCACCATGGCACCACTCTTTTCCACGGCGATCAAGGCAGCTTCGACCTCCTCTCGCTGGGAAAGCAACGCTTGAATCCGCTCCATTCGCAGCTTAAACCAGGCAACCATGCTGTCAAAAACCTTGTCAGCAACACCTCGCATCGCCTCGTCGCGAGAACCTTGAAGCTTCTTCTTCTCAGCAAGGAGCTTTTGCAAAGTCTCCTCGTTCCGCTTTTTTGAGGACCTCATTCTGCGCTTGAGGGCCGCGACCTGCTTACGAAGCCGGTATGCCTCTGCCACCTCGCCCTGAAAGGCTTCAACAGTGTCTTCGAGCCTGGAACACTTCTCTCTGAGAAGCCGGTTCTCCTCCTCAACCTTTAAAAGCTCCTCAATCTTGGTGCAAGCACGTCCAACATCATCTCCTCTTGACAATAGTCTTTATCATACGTCGCGAGTGCAGACATATAAGCACCTAGACCTTGTACCACGATTCACTATTAGAACATGCGACAGAACAAAATAAGAGACACGGCAACAATCAAATACCTGAGCAATCAGATGGTTAGCCGAAGGTACTCCGTCAGCTTCAACTCCCGCAGAGGTTTACCCAACTCAGGTTCTTTCTGCACTTCCAGCTTCGCGGCAAACTCACGGTCGAGTACTGTCGTGATCTCAACTCAGGTTCCATCGGATCTCGGCTGCGGTGCCCTCTTAGCGGCTGAAAATATCAAAAACATGTAAATAAGGCGCCACGCTCCAAAAAAGAGAAGGAAAGGAAGAAGTTACTTTGATCGGGTAACACACCTGCTTTCGAAGACTTGGCTCCCTTCTCAGCCGGCTTGGCCAACTTCTTCTTCTTCTCGGCGGCCCTCTTTTTCTCCTTTTCAGACCACAGCTCCTGGCTAAGATTGCGCAGCTTCTGGATATCGACATCAGACCAGACGGGTCCTTCCCGAGACTGATCGTCACTGCCAACATAAGAAACATGTCAACACCTCGAAATTAGCCAAAAGAGAAAACAAAAAAAAATGATGAAAGTTCAGTTCGGCTTACAAGGTTTCGATTTCTAAACTCTGAATAATTCTAGTTCAGAGCAGCTGATGGAGGCTTCATTAATCTTCACGAAGAAGAAGTATCTATCCCATTCATGCACTTTGCTCGTCGGATCTCCAGCGATGATCCTGTGCCTCATAGTGGTATAGAAATGGCGCCATGGTCCCGAACTGCTCCACCTCCCGGACTTTAAAATCGAGATCCTCTCGAAAATGTCCTAGTTAAAAGGAATCTCCGCCGCTCAAGCTACCGCCACCATGGAAATCAAATGCCTAATCACGGCATGCGAAAGCTGGCCAAGGGGCACCTTCCTCCTTTCACAATAGCGAAGAAGGAGCGGTGGCAGCAGAAAACTCAATTCGAACTCGGCGTAATGACACTCATACGAGCAGAAATAACCCTCCGGCGGCGATGTCATTCTCTCATGTACTTGCGGCAGAAGTACCTCGACTCCAGCAGGGAAATTGCATCCTCGCCCAAGCTCTTGAAGCCAGTCGGCCCTCATCCAGGTCCGGCCGTCTTTTATTTTGTCTTCTTTAGTCAAATCACTTTTTGGCATCGCTATCTTCCGAGAAAGACCCTCAATCCGACTCGCCGGCACGGGACCATCCGATTCCATCTCGGAGTCTATGTCGGAGTTATCCGGCGAAATCTCGTCTCGGTAGTCTGAAGACGCCCCATAATTAGAAAAAGAAGGAGCTGGGCTAACGCAAGCCCGCCTAGCGCACTCGGCAAAGGAAATCTCATCGTCGTCAAAAGAAGATCTATGCGAAGAAATCGACATTTTTAAAGGAAGAAATTTATGAAGAACTTGAAGAAAAAGGAAGATCGGCAAGAAAAAGAGATTATTGCAGCAAAGAAATGATTTTGCAAAGCGAATTCGAAGAGAATAAAATTTCTGGAACAAGAAGATGAAAAGGTAAATACTTAGTTATAAAATCAGAAGAAATATTAACAGTTTCCTAAAGGGACGCGTGTTGAGATTCGCATATACTTACCATCCTATCAATCTTTCGCCTTTCCCGCTCGGAGTAAAACCCTAATGGGTCGAATATTTAATAAATTTATTAAAAAAGTGCCACGTGTCAAAAACGGGCCGAGCTGGCCATCGCGAAGAAACGCTCTTGACGAACTGACGCTTATTGCGAGATCAAACCCCACTCAACTTCATTAAGTCCGCTGACCTGATTCACAATCAGTCTTGTCAGAAGGGGGGGGAGGGATTATTGTTAGAGGGGAAATGAGCACATTTCCTAAAAAGTTTTCTCTAGCAATAACCTAAGCCCATCAAAACCGAGAAGACCGCGCCGACCTAGCTCGGATAAAAAGAAAATTCTTAAGGATGATCTTTGAAGTCTGGAAGCTTCGTATCAACTCAAAGGATAAAATAGAATTTTTGGAGAACAAGAAATATTTTCATATCGCAAATATGGAAATATTCACAAAAGAAGAAAAGGACAAGGAGTTCAGAAAAACCGACCTCCTATTCTTATAAATAAGAAGACCCCGAAGCACAAGAAAGACAACTCATACAACCTAGAGAGCAGCAGAGCTAAAACCAAGAACTCCAACGCCTTCTATTTTCTTCGCAAATACTTTCTTTTCACTTCGGCATAACCTCTCGGTTATACCAGTCTTTGTAATCGCTTCGTCTTTAAACTATTAATAAAGAACTTGTTCTCCAAAACACACAACTGTTAATCAAATCCCTAGTGGTGATTTTCTGGTTCAATATTTACATTTGTTTTGTGGTACTTATTTACAGCTTGGCGCTTCTTTTATATGGCTCTTGTGGATATTCTCCTTTCATAGTCTGATGCGCGGTAAATATATCTCAGGAACTTTCAGTATGTAAAGCTTCGATTTTTGAGTTAGCAAAAACAATTATGGAAAGTCTTGGAGGTATAGGGTTCAGTAATACGAACAGTGCAACAACAAGGAAAAAAAGAAGCACCACATTGCGCCGACCTTGGAACGAACGACAGTTGCAGGATGCTTTGTCGTTGCCATCCACACCAATCTCTGACAATGTAAGAAAACCACCAACGTGTACATTTTCGCAATGCAAACTTCATTCCTGTTGTACAACATATCTCTTTTACTTCAGCTAAGACTAGTTTTCCCGCTAAGTATCGTCTCCATACTTTTTTTTAGTATTTATGTTGTATGATCAGTTCTACTTTGTGGCCGTAAAATTTTCTTCTTTTATCTTCCTATCCAAATCAAGAAAGCTTTGTATCATTGTGAACTTGTGAGCTCCTTAATACTGTGGATCTTCATGTGTCTACTACTACTACTACTACTACTATATGAGTTATATTCATTATAAGTTTGAATTGGCTTTGTGTTTGTAGAATAAGAATAAGATCGAAGGCTAGTTTTCCTGCTAAGTATTGTCTTCATACTTCTTTGGTATTTATGTTGTATGATCAGTTTTACTCTGTCGCCGTAAAAGTTTCTTCTTTGATCTTCCTATCCAAATCAAGACACCTTTGAATCACTGTGAACTTTTGAGCCCATTCATACTATATGAATGAGTTCTGTTCATTATGAGTAGAAACTGGCCTTTTGTTTGCAGAATGAGAATAAGATCGAAGATAGGGAAGCAGTAGAGTCAGATGAAGGATCAACGAATGGCTCGTTTCAAGGAAGTAATCAAGTGAGGCAAGGTGGTGGCCATAGCACTGCATCCACTGAAGGGTTTCTTGTCCCAACTAATAAGAAAGACTCAACAGAACGCCGAGCTGACTTTGATGAGAATACCATTGTCAAGAAGGTTAAACTCAAACTCGGTGGCTCGTCAAAAACTGCAAACGCAATGTCTGCGTCCGAAGGTGCTTCTGAAATTGCGTTGTGCTCGACAAAGTCTTCACATGCTTCAAATGATGCCTCAGGTTTTACGCACATTAACCAGGTAGAAAAACTAAGTTCTTAACTAAATATTTCTGAAAATCTTGAATCTGGATAAGTTCTTTCTGATGAACTTCGACATTAGCTACTAAAGTTCTAATCTTGTTAAAGTTCTTAAATATTTCTGAAAATCTTGAATCTTGATAAGCTACTAAAGTTATAATCTTGTTAAAGTTCTTGAATATATCTGAAAATCTTGAAAAGTTCTTTCTGATGAACTTCGTCTGCTATAGTTCTAATTCGTTGCTTTCTGCTGTGACCATTTACTGACAGGAGATTTCGAACGAGAGATCCACTAAACTAAGAGGGATACCGTTGGACACTGCAAGCAAAGCGGAGTCATGTAATGATACCCGAGATAGCAAAACAAACACTCATCCGATTCGTAAAAGCAACCGGATTTCTAAACGGCGTGTTCTTGATGATGAACTCGATAATCTTGATGACGATGACGAAGAGATTCAGTTTCTCAGAAGGGTCAAAATGGCTAAAGCTGTTTCTGTGGAAGAAGATGTTGATGATGACGAAGAAAAGAGCAGAAAACATAAAAAGCTTTCCAAGGTAATGAAACTAAATGTAGATTACCCGCGTGGTGTTGGAACACCAGAGAAGCCTGGAAAGAAAGATAAGACGGTGAAAGCATTTGACGATACTGATTATGTTAAAGACGACGAAGATGAGGAAGAAGAAGGTCTGAGTGAGGAGGCAGAGGTTGAGGTGGAAAATAGGAGCTCGAGAACTAAAAGAAGAGCAGCTGAAGAAGGTCTGAGTGAAGTTAAGACAGAGATGACTGTGACTACTCGTCGACGTTCTGGACATAGCGGAAACCTCATCGAGTTTCCTCGTGGCCTACCTCCAGCTCCACCAAGAAGTAAGCTTGATGAACATCTAACATGCTCTTTTTCTATTCGATATCTAGTGAATTACTAAAAGTTTAATCCTGAAGGTTTTACTGGGTACTTGCAATGTCATTGAACACATTAGATATACAATAATTCAGTGACCCTATATAGTTGCTCAATCTGTGGTCCAATGAAGGTTCTTATCAAACTGTTTTTCTACTTCAAGCTTTTCTTTTTCTTGTTCTTATTTGTTTACAGAGCGGAAAGAAAATGGATTAGAGGTTGATCAGCAACTAAAGAAAGCTGAGGCTGCCCAGAGACGTAAACTGCAAGTCGAAAAAGCAGCTAGAGAGTCAGAGGTTTGGTCCTGTTTTCCAATTTCAGTAGAATGCAATATACAATTAAACCAAAGCTTACGTAATTTTTCTTGCATGGGTAGGCTGAGGCAATCAGGAAGATTTTAGGCCAAGACTCTAGCAGAAAAAAGAAGGAAGATAAGATAAAGAAACGCCAAGAAGAGAAGGCTAAGGTATTAAACAGTGGAAAGATCATATGTATTGTTCCTTCTGATTATAACCATTTTCTTGGCTGTTGAACGAAAGTTATATGAGATCTTCTATAATTGTATGCAATTCTGTTTTATGCAGGAGAAGGCTGCAGATTCGATTGCCCGTAGATCAGACACGGTGAAGTGGGTGATGGGTCCTTCAGGAACCGTCGTAACATTCCCTGAAGAACTTGGATTACCGACAATATTCAACTCTGGACCTCAAAGGTACGATTTTTCTACACAAATCATAGATTCAGTACAATCAATGTCCTGTTTCAATCTGAAGTGCCACTTTGGTTTGGTGCCTTTTAAGACTCATTTGGTTCGCCTTGTGCTATATGAAGCAGCTATCCTCCACCGCGTGAGAGATGTGCGGGTCCAGAATGTACAAACCCATACAAATACAGAGATTCAGAATCAAATCTTCCACTGTGTAGCCTACGATGCTACAAGGCGATCAAAAGCTAAATAAATATTGTAAGTGCTTCCGTTGTGACAGAAAATAATATCGTTCTTGTAAAAAGTACTAATAAAGGAGGCGTCATCATGGGTGTGAAGTGATTTAACAACCTGAGATATAGATTTGTTTGTTTTTAAATAAGAATCGAATGTGTATAAAAACATTGGTGAAGGTAAATGTTATGTAATTGTCATAATGTTGTTTTAAAGCGTTTTTTAATGTAATGTTTTCGTTATAAAAAGAAGAAGCAAAATCACAGTCCATAGAAAAGTACAGAGAAAAACAAGAGAGAGATTCAGTACTCTAGATCCGTTCATAAATCCACATAGTTTTTTTACCCCTTAACCCTTACTTTCCCAAAAGTCGAACTTTTCAAGCGAACGTACTTCTTGTCTGATCTTTCTCCGGCTGGTGGCTACGGTCTGATACAAGCTCGGAGTGATGTCCGGCTTAATATGTCATTCGGTACGAGAAGGGCTCGATCAGTCCAGGAAGAGGTGGGACGGACGGTACGGGGTGCCTTGCAGCCGTGATACTCAGGATACAAAGACGTGGTATGATGGAATGATGCGAACGGGGCAGGCGAATGGAACGATCTAACAGCCGGTACAAGTGACTGAATGGATCGGGTGATTGGGCGGGACGAGATGTGGTCGTATGGTCGAGATACTCGGACGATAGACCGATGGTCGAACAGGATGGGAGACCAGAACAAGATGGATCGAAGTGTACCACAAGGGTTATGACAATTCTCTTGATACAATACGTAAATTCTTTATGTTTTGGAGGTACTGGTCTCACAAAACAAGAGAAGAAATCAAGAAAACAATTCTTGAAGAAATTCGGTATTTTATTAATAATCAAAAAGGTGAATGTTATAAGCTGCATATAGAACCTTATAAACTAATTCTTCAGCCAAAAGTAATAAAGGAAAATAAAATAAAAATACATAAGTACATAATAAAAATTACATTGAAGACTAATAAAAATTAACGACTAACTTAGTTGCAAAAGAGATTGAAAATTATTAGTCAAAATGTAATGAAAATAATTATAAACACTTACCTTGTTTGTTGGCTCGATTTTAAAGTCTGAATGATCGCCCTCTTGATAACTCTTTGACCGTGGTGATGAGTTTTATGGGTCTTATGCCTTGCTTGAAACAACAAAGAGATTATAGCCATTTGGTTTAGAGAATAAGGACCATGCTTCTTGAATTTCTTTAACTCTGAATGGGCCTTTGCTAGCTTGAACATCATCTTGAAGTTCTTGATCATCAGCTTGTTGGGCGGCTAACATGATAGCTTGATTATACTTGTGTTGTAACACTCTTGTTCTTTCTCTTGTAATGGCTCCAGTTGGTACTTCAATCACTTGTGGTTCCGTTAAGTCAGGTTCTTCTTGGATATCTTCATCACGGTCGCTGGACTTCTTCCCTCTCTTTGCTGTTTAATTTCATACTAGTTTAATTTAAACGTTGCTGATTGAAGAAAAGGATTATCTCTGTTAGATCTCCTATAACCACCATTTTATGCCAACTAATTTCAGCACACTTCGATCACGACTCAGTGGAGATTTCCGTAATAAAGGCGAGTAGTGGTCACGAGATACAAAAATGCATTGACGTGGTGGGGTTTAATGTTGTTTGTTCTCATGAGTTTTGTCTTATGTTATTCTTCGCGTCTCTGCGCCTTTCTCTCCGTCCTTTTGCTACACGGTCGAAATCATTTTCGGATGCAAGAAATGGCATATATTATTGCAACCTATTGGGCCCGTATGTTGGCCCTTGTCATTAGGTTTATGTTAATAACGTTTAGATCAAACTATGTAACTTGTATATAAGGAAACGCCTTCTTATCTTTGTAAAAAAGAAATTCATTTACAACTTCTAAGAGCATCTCCAATGAGAGAGGTGTCTTCTAAGAATATTAAATTATTATAATTTAATAAAATAATTAGTTTTAATAATAAAAAAGAATTTAATTAATAATTAAATGACACATGTTTTGAAAGTATTTGAAATTGGTTAGATCGTCTCTTAAATGAGAAGTTTTAGGAACAATATCAGATTTTTTTTCTCTCTCTCTTACCTTTTTTATTTTTTAATTGTTCTTATTGTTTAGAACCTCAAATATTTTCTACCATTGGAGATGGTCTAAGATTCTTGAAATGATATCAGAACTATAATCTAACTATTTCAAGGTTTAGCTTTCAATCTTAAGATCTCTTAATTAAGAAATCTGTTCGGAATTGATGTTCTCCTTATAAAAACATAATTTTGTTGATATTCTTTTAACAAATCTATCTTCAAGATGAGTACTATCCTCTACATCAAGAACTCGACGGACGATATCTTCATGTGATTTGTTTTCCGGTGATAATTCCGGAACAATCATCTCTAAACCGTTTTTACTAGGACTTAACTATAAAAATTGGATATTCAGAACTTACCATTTGTGAAAAAGAAGTTGTGTAATATCACCTATACTAAAAAAGTTTAAAGTTTTTTACCTCAAAATAAATTTTAAAAAATGAATTAAAGTTTTCATTCTGAATCACTTCCGAACGGCATGGTTATATTTTGTATAGATACTAACGATTTTTTTTTTTATTTTAGGTCATGCTTCTCAGATGGTGAGTTTACTCGAGACTTCTCGAGTAGACTTCTTGGAGAAGTCTACTCTCTAATAATATGTTTATAATTAATTTTAAAAATCATAAAAAATAATTTGATAAAAAAATAGATACATAACCCAAATATATACTTTTTATACCTATTAAAAATAAAATTTCATACAAAATAATCAATTAAATCATCATAGATAAATTAGGATAAAAATCAATACTAAGAGATTTCTCGAGTAGACTTCTCGGTTTCTCGAGTAGACTTCTCGGTTTCTCGAGAAGTCTACTTAAACGAATTTTTTTCTACATATATACGAAGAGTTTAACCTAATTGTATTAACAATAAAGTCTCTCTCTATCTAAAAAACGGCTCTCTCTCTTCTTCCTTCTCTCTGGCCATGAATTTCTTCTCCTTCCTCTATTGCTATCAATATTCTCTCCATCCTCTCTATCTTGCATTCAACCTTCTCTCACTTGCAGGTTATAGTAGTGGTAAGCAAATCTGAGCTTTTGTGTTCCTCTTTTTGTTTGCTTTGTGTTCATATTGCAAATCTAAGCTTATTATTATAGATTTGAGTTTATTGTTGTATATCTAAGTTTATTTTGTAGATCTGAGTTTATTGTTGTATAAATTTTAGATTTTGTTGTAGATCTGAATTTTGTTGATTTTTTTGCAGATCTGAATGTTAAAAATATAGTAGATTATTATTATAGATCCGAGCTTATTATTATAGATTTGAGCTTATTATTGTAGATCTAAGTTTATTTTTGTAGATCTGAGTTTATTGTTGTATAAATTTTGTAGATTTTGTTGCAGATCTAAATTTTTTGTTATTGTTGCAGAGCTGAATTTTGTTGATTTTTTGCAGATCTGAATGTTATAAATATAGTAAATTATGTTGCAAATCTAAATTTTAACATTTCTCATTTCTTATTGTTGCAGATCTGGCCTTATTCATATTTATGGTTTTGTTCTCCAGATCTCAACAAAGCGTTTGCTTGCCTCTGCTGGATTTTAAGTGATTTGAAGGTTCAAAACGTTTAGAATTCTCGAGTAGACTTCCCGAGTAGACTTCTCGAGGAGACTTCTTGAGCAGACTTCTCGAGCAGACTTCTTGAGTAGACTTCTCGAGCAGACTTCTCAAGCAGACTTCAGTTGCATACATATTTTTCAGAGATTTTAGTTTAGTAGTGATTTTTTATGCCAATTTTAAGATTTATAATCAGTGATTCTTAAATGTTTGTTTATTTAGAGGGTTATTTTCTATGTAATGTTGAATTACATTGAATGTTTTGTATCATATTCCTAAATTATGTGTGTTTATGTATTCTACAAAATAGACTTCTCCTGTCTCGTGTAGACTTCTTAAAGACATTAATTTTACATAACTTAAAGGTTATTCAGAGGGACATTTCTCCCATTTATATCACATAACTTGTCAACCGAGTAGACTTTTCTTGTCTCGAGTAGACTTATGAAGCAGACTTCTCCTGTCTCGAGTAGACTTCTTAAAGATATTAATTTTACATAACTTAAAGGTTATTCAGAGGGACATTTCTCCCATTTATATCACATAACTTGTCAACCGAGTAGATTTCTCTTGTCTCGAGTAGACTTCTCCTGTCTCGAGTAGGCTTCTTAAAGACATTAATTTTACATAACTTAAAGGTGACAACATTTGCCCTCCTTTGCCAACATTCACCAAGAAGCTCACCATGTGTGCAACCATCTCATTCGCCCTCCTTTGCTATTATCCACCTCGAACTGCCACACTGATTCACTCCTCACCTATTTTCCATAAACAACGGATATGTGAACCATTTTATCTAAAAAAAAAAAAAAATCCAAACCACATTAGAAATCAAAATTGAATAAGTAGACTTCTCTGAAAGTCAGATGAAGTCTACTTAGTAGACTTCTCGAGTAGACTTCGCGAGTAGACTTCTTGGAGAAGTCTACTCTTAATAAGCTAAGTATCATATCAAATATAAAAACTGATTGGACTATACCTATAAATATATAAATATGTAAAACTTATGCATAATCAAGAACACTTACTAAAAGAAGCTTAGGATCATGAAAATCTTAAAAATTCATTATATATTGTATAAAAATGTTTTTTTTTAAAACAAGAAAAGTAGACTTCTCGGAGAAAAGTAGACTTCTCGCGGGTTAGTTTTGCAATTGCCAAAAGATTAGTAGACTTCTTCAAGAAAAGTAGACTTCTCTGAGAAGTCTACTTCCGAAAGTAGACTACTCGGAGAAGTCTACTTTTCATGGAGAAGTCTACTCTACAAAGTCAAAGGTTGGTCAATTGCAAAAATGACCTGCTTCTAAAGAAGTTTACTCGAGAAGTCTACTCTATTTTTTTGTTATCAAAGG